CTCGTAGTCGAACGAGCGCAGCGCGTACAGCGCGCCCGTCTCCGCCTGCACCGACACGTACGACGACAGCGGCGCGCCCCGCACCCGCCCCTCCGCCAGCCGGTACCGCACACGCGCGTTCCCACCCCAGTCGGCGTCCGTCGCCCGCACCACCAGCACCAGCGCGCCCGCCGCGTTGTTCTCCCGCAGCCGCGCGCTGTAGCGCTCCTGCGAGAACACCGGCGCGTTGTCGTTCACGTCCAGCACCCGCAGCGCCAGCACCCTGCTGCTCTGCAGCGCCGGCCACCCGCCGTCGGATGCCCGCACCGTCACGTTGTACTCCGACTGCTGCTCCCGGTCCAGCTCTCTCGCTGTCACCACGCGGTAGTAGTCCTCAAAGGACTTTTCCAGGAGAAACGGGACACCTACTTCGAGAGAACAGCGCACCTCGCCGTTGGCACCCGAGTCACGGTCATGTACGTGCAGCAGGGCAACTACGGTCCCCGTCGGGGCATCCTCGGAGATCTCACTCAGCACCGACGATACTATCAGTTCGGGCTTATTATCGTTGACATCTGTCACGGAGATCGCAACTTTTGTCGTGTCGAAAAGTGCTCCACCATCATGTGCCTGCACCTTCAATGCGTAGGAATCGCCTTCCTCGAAGTCCAGGTTCTGCACAAGCGTGATTGCTCCTGTCTCATCATCTATCTGGAATATATCCGATGCCATGTTCGTCTCTTTCTTCATTGAATATTTTATGTGCCCATTCAGACCCTCGTCAGCGTCGGTGGCCGTGACGGTGACGAGGACGGAACCCACGGGCACGTCCTCGGGCACACGCACCGTGTACTCCGCCTGGCTGAACACGGGCGCGTTGTCGTTCGCGTCCAGCACCGTCACGCGGATCCGCGCTGTGCCCGTCCGGGCCGGATCGCCGCCGTCCATCGCCCTCAGCACCAGCTCGTGGAACGCCGCCTCCTCCCGGTCCAGCGCCTTCGCCAGCACCAGTTCGGGACGCTGATCCCCGTCAGGGCCCGTCTGCACGGCCAGCGAGAAGTGCTCGTCGCCGCTCAGCTCGTAGCTCTGCAGGGAATTCTGTCCAGAGTCGGGGTCGTGAGGTCTATCAAGTGGAAACTGGGACCCTAGGACTGTTGTCTCGCTCATTCGGAGTTCAATTTCTGCTTCTCCGAAGCTGGGTGCATTGTCATTAATGTCCGTGATTTCTACTTCAATTCCGTAAACCTTCATTTCCCCCTCGACTATCAGCTCACAGCGCAGCACGCATTTCTCCACCTGCCGGCACAGCTGCTCTCTGTCGATCCTCTCGGCCGTCATTAAATGTCCCGTCTTCCTGTGCAGAGTAAAATACTGCGTCCTACCTTTGTCCAAGAGGCGAACGCCCCGATCGCTGAGCGCCGGCGTCTGCAGCCCCAGGTCGTTGGCCACGTCGCCCACGAACGAGCCCTTGGGCATCTCCTCGGGCACCGAGTAGCGCAGCTGCCCCCACGCCGCCTCCCAGGCCGCCAGCAGGACGCCCCAGAGCAGGACTCGCTGCCGCCGGCCCCAGCGCCTCCCCGCCGAGCACATCTCCGCCGCCGCACCGCCGGCACCGAAAGACCACCGGCAGATCCCCGCCACCAATCGCCGACTGGGCTCACACTCCGGCTCCGACTTGCCGCTGCTCCAGCCCCTCCACCTCGCTGTATCTCTGCTCTGCACCGCGGAAATGATCCGAAATCGACCACTTTCCGAGGCAGGAATCCAGCGATCCAGCGATCGAGCCGGTCCGCAGCGGGCGGGGCTGCAGCTTTCCGGGCTTCCTCTCGCTCCTCTCGGTCAACAGCGGCGCCCGCAGCCTCCTCCCGGCACTGCAGGCACCGAGCGCTGCCGAGAGATGCCCGCCCCGCCTCGCCCACGGGAAGCTCAAAAAGACGGGACAGTTGCCACGAAAATGTCGGGTCCAGCACAGCGGAGACCTGGCGTTATGTTCTTTCTACCGCACGGGAAAATACTCATGTGATTGCGATAATCTCTAGATACAAAATTCTCTTAATACGGCATGCAGAGTATTCCGAACTTACTCTTCTACGGCAGGAAAGTATAACATTTTCCCTGCAAATGCACAGGTTTTTGTGTCATTCGTTCTCTAATTTTTCCTCACCGAGTGTCAACACTCAAACACCTACCACAGTAGATTTCCAGGCCTGAGCTATTGCACATAGCAGCGATGAAGATTCCTCCTCAAAAGTAGGGATTCTATGGCCTGCCCTTCCCTCTCTGCTTTTTCACGTTTCACTTGCACATCCGAGGCGGCTGTGAATCAGCCTGCATTGTCTCCTCCAACCAGTACTTCCGATTTTTCCATTACATCCTAAACATAAGATCCTGCTTTTGTATACAGCTTAGTGCTCCATTCTTGATCACAGCCTTAGAGAGAGATGCTATTCAGTATTTTTTAGATCACATTCAATCTCTCCGTAATAAAGTCAGCTGCAGAATGGTAAATAAGAAGGAACTACCAAACTGTGAATGAGAAATAATAGCAGAAAGAGAACAAAGAAATAAAGTTCTGATAAAATAAACTGATCTCACTATAGCTTGCCATTTCTGTAGCTCACTTACACCAAAAACTGGGACGGCACAGGGTGGAAGGTAGGCATATTCCTTAGGAAAGAACAACTCCCCCTTCATCTAGCAAGTTTCCTTAAACTCTGAAAAAACAAACAAGTCGCCGTGTATCTACACGGTAAAGAAGGATCAGGAAGGAAAAATCCCAGTATTGAGCTTCAATCCCATTGCCAACTCCACTATGTGGAATTATCAGATGGCTTTCTAAGTAACCACCTACACCGTTATGAACCCATAGTATTTTACACAATACAAGGTTTGCAGAAAAACCTGAGCAGTTGAACAAAGAGATGCTGTCGCTACTGCTCTGAGAAAAAATATAAATAAAACAGAAAGTAGAAGCAGTCCTTTACAAGTCCTCCACGGTTTTATGCACCATAAGTTGAACGACAAGAACATCCCAACTAAGCTGACAAGTCTGGAGGTGCTTGGTCTCACAGCCTGCAGCCTTAAAGGGGCAGCATTATTACATGCTTTCATGGAAACAACCACCAGCATTAACTGCACCAGAACAGATACTAACCCCAAGAGCCCACTGCCATCTGCACAACCTGAGGAAAAGCTCAGAGAGAAGGAGGATGAGACTTTACCCACCTGCGGTGCGCCGGGGTCTGTGGGCGGCTCTCCCGCGACGGCGCTGCTGCTCGGGCTCGGCTTCCCGCAGGGCTCCCCGGCCAGAAGCTCCTCGGCGGGCAGGATGGGCAGCGGCGGCGGCGGCCAAGCGGCCTCGGCGGCGGCGCGGGCCGGCGCGGCCACGCACAGGTTGTAGGAGTAGGGCAAGGTGCCCTCGCAGAAGTCGGGCGGGAAGGCG